GACAACAAGGTAAACAGAATAAGAAGCAAAAGGTGGGTGTGGCTGTATGACCACACTTCTGGTAACATGGGGGTGTGGCCTAATATGCTAATGAGTGTCTGCTGTTGGGTGTGGCCTATTATGCTAATGAGTTCCTCCTGGGCTTTTTCTACCAAAAAAGCCCTGGTTTTACGTATCCCCTTTGTTTCATGTATCATAGTTTAAAAAGCAGATCCATCAAGTAATACTTCTGGCCTAACAAAGAGTGGATTTCCCCACCACCACCAACCGTGTGATGTTGTGTTCCATTAAAATAAAGAGCAAGGTTCTAGCCCAGTTGCACCTTAAAGACCAACAAAATTTTCCAGGCTCTACGCTTTCGAGAGTCAAACCTTTGACTCTCAGAAGCCTGTATCCTGGAAGCCGTGTTGGCCTTTAAGATGCTGCTGGACTTGAACCTGCAGACGAGCGTGGCCACCGAAATGAAGGAAAGCCTGCAGGCTCCTATCACACACCTCCACCTGCATTTAGACAATGTGTGTGTAACAGCTGTGCACGCTTCGGTTATTTTCACACCTCCTACACAGGAATTCTCAATCTCTCCTTGTGTTGCCCAGAGCTGCAATATGCTGCTTCGTTACACGGTGCGGAGCGACTGTCTTCAGATAAATGGGTGGTGCTTCAAACTAAGGTGCTGGCGGAAAGCGTTCTGCAAAACTGCCACCGTGTATTCTCACAGGGAAATTGACATTTCTTTTTTGTTCCCCCAAGTCATTCCTTCATAAAGTTAATTTGTAACACGATGAAATACCATGGCAGTCAAACTGAGCAGGTGTTTTGGAAACTGTCCCCTTTATACACACGTTTGCTCCCGAACATCAACAGGGCAATTCTCTTTAACGGGCTTCAAAGGGTGTAACTCTGTTAAGGACGGCACTACTAATGTGCTTATTGATTCCCCCACTCCACCCCACCCCGGACAATGATTTCAGCTCAGTGTCTGGCTGTCGGAAAAACATTTGACATATGTATTCATACAGCACGGAAAACTACAGTGACGGGTTTAGTCGTGCTGATTAAATGCAAGTCAAATATGGTGCATCAGATCCAAATAGCTTTAGAACACCAGAAGACATTCCAGTTTCAGACCTTTCTGGGAAACATGTTGCCACTGGTTGGTCTCTGTGACCGCTTTCTTTTTACTGTATTTATTTAGGATTTTTTATGTAAAAGAAGAGGGGGAAGAGACACAGAGAGTGAACTCATGAAACTGCCTCATACTGAATCAGACCTTTAGTCCATCAAAGTCAGTATTGTCTACTCAGACTAGGAGTGGCTCTACAGGGTCTCAAGGAACAGCAAAGAACACACCACTGACTGGAAATAAATGCACAAGCAAAATAGCAAGTATATAATAATCATATAAGCATAACAGCAAATATAAAATGAATCAATTCGCCAAGGTGCAATAATAAAGCATAATAGAAGCACAGTCTACAGTCTTTCCATGTGTCTACTCCAAAATAGAAGCAAATATCAGAGTCCAAATTGAAGTGTAAGTCATCAAATTTTCTGAGCCATAAAAAGCCGACGCGTAATCCGGATGCCTGATGCCGCATTTCGAATAATTCTTATTCAAGCATGGCTGTAATGGGACCCAATCTCAAAAGCTGGCATATACTAAGCCAGAATGGTCAGTCAAGGAGGATTAAGGTTCTTTGCTGTTCCTTGTACTATACACTGGCTTCCCCCCCTTTTTTTGTCTACAGGGTCTCAGGCAGAGGCCTTTCACATCACCTACTGCCTGGTCCTTTTACCTGGAGATCCCGGGGATTGAACTTGGTGCATGCCAAGCAGACGCTTGACCACTGGGCCACAGCTCCTCCCCTATGTGCGTAGGTGAAAGAGCAAAAGATGGGTGTACATACGCAAGGACCATCAAGTTGCAACTGACTTACGGTGACCCCAGCAAGGACCTTCCAAGGCAAGTGAGAAGCAGAGTTTGCCATAGCTTTCCTCTACAGAGCCTTCCTTGGTGGTCTCTCATCCAAGGACTGACCCTGCTTAGCTTCCAAGATCTGACAAGCCTGGGCTATACCATACCACTCGAACTCCTTAGCAGCTATCTAGAGATCCCAAAATTGCTTTCTCTCTTTTTCAGTACCTGTTACGTGCTGTCAAGTCAAAAACCAGCTTATGGCAACCCCAGCAAGGGGCTTTCCAGGCAAGTGAGAAGCAGAGGTGGTTTGCTGTGGCCTTCCTCTGCAGAGTCTTGCCTGGTGGTCTTCCAGTCCAAGGACCGACCCTGCTTAGCTTCTGAGTCTGACAAGATTGGCCTATACCATCCCATTTCAATGCTCCCTCTAAGCCATGGAGTCTTGTGAGCAAAAATTCTACTTTGTGAGCTACTGACATTAAAGTGAGAGGGCGATTTGGCTACTGCCTAAATTAGTTTGCTCTGGAGCCCCATCCTTCCTGAGCTGAGGCAAAAATGGGTGAGCCCGAGGCTAAAAAACTATGAGCTGGCTCACACTAACTCAGCTTAGAGGGAACACTATCCCTTTCCACATCCCTAGCAACTACCTAGACATCTCAAAACTGTTCTCTGTCTTTTTCAGTGGCTGTTATGTACATACGGGGTCCCAACCAATGTTCCCTCTAAGCTGTGGAGTCTTGTGAGCAAAAATTCGACTTTGTGAGCAACTGGCATTATAGTTGTGAGCGAACGATTTGGCTGCTGCATAAACTAGTTTGCTCAGGAGCCATCCTTCCTGAGCTAAGACAAAAATGTGTGAGCTGGAGGCTAAAAAACTGAGCTGGCTCACACTAACTCAGCTTAGAGGGAACACTGGTCCCAACTGAATTATGGTGACCCCAGCGAGGGGCTTCCAAGGCGAGAGAGAAGCAGAGGAGGTTTTGCCAGTGCTTTCCTCTGCATGGCCTTCCTAGATGGTTTCCCATCCAAGTCCTGACCAATGCTCCCTCTAAGCTGTGGAGTCTTGTGAGCAAAAATTCTACTTTGTGAGCTACCGACATTAAAGTTGTGAGCGAGTGATTTGGCTGCTGCATAAATCAGTTTGCTCTGGAGCCCTCCTTCCTGAGCGAAGACAAAAAAAGTGTGAGCCAGAGGCTAAAAAACTGTGAGCTAGCTCACACTAACTCAGCCTAGCGGGAACACTGGTCCTGACCTTGCTTAGCTTCCGAGATCTGATGAGACGGGGCTATACCATGTTTCTTTCTCACCCAAAGATGGATATGCGCAGTAAAAAATAAATTAAATTAATCCTAATTTCGGATTGATGTTAATAGTGGGTCCTGTGTTTATAAAGGTTGAAGGGGCTAGCAATGCGGGGGGTGGGGGGGATGAATTGTGACCCCGACCCAGTGACACCCAAGACAGCTATGCTCAGCCTTTGCGAGGCACACCGGTACCTGCTAGGCCCGGTACAATGAACAGTAGTTCATCTAATAAAAACCAGCAGTGGCTAAAAGGAAATCTTGCTCTCCACCCGCCTCCCCACCCCCTGCCGCCATCGATTACATTACATCTATTACTTCTGGCATACTGTTAGCATGGAGGGTATTTTTAGAATTGCTAGTCCCTTTAAAGTCTAAAAATTTGTTAAATTACTGCAATTCCAGAATATTCTTTGAAGTACCACACAGCCAACAGGGGGATGCCGGTTACTGGAGACAGCTGGGAAGGACAAAAATAACCTCCGCTATCGGAGTTGTATATAGAACGTGTTTCGATACAGGGGCAGGAAATAGCTTTTTGAGAACCCTTTGTGTACTAGTACACACGCCGACTTGCACATTTCCATCCAAACGGTTGTGTGGCCACGCACACCAAGGATTGCAGCCTAATGCTGCCTTTATTTAGATCTGCATTTGCCTGATTTAGTTTTTATTTACTGGCAGTCCTAACCAGTGCTCCCTCTAAGCTGAGGAGTCTTGTGAGCAAAAATTCTATTTTGTGAGCTACTGGCATGAAAGTTGTGAGCGAGCGACTTGGCTACTGCATAAATTAATTTGCTCTGGAGCCCTCCTTCCTGAGCTAAGACAGAAATGTGTGAGCCGGAGGCTAAGAAACTGTGAGCCAGCTCACACTAACTCAGCTTAGAGGGAACATTGGTCCTAACTGAAATTTTCAATTGTGGCCTTTTAGGTGTTTCTTTATCCTCATTGTTTTATTCACACGGTTAAGCCGTTTTGTGTTCTGCAAGGCAGAAAAGCAGCTAATAAATGTTTTAAATAAATATTTAGATGAGTAAAATTGGAGAAGAGAGAGATTGGATTTATACCCCATCCTTCACTCGGGAGTCTCAGAGTGGCTTACAATCTCCTTTCCCTTCCCCTCTGCACAACAGACACCCCTGTGAGGTGGGTGGGGCTGAGAGGGCTCTTTCGAGGACTGCTCCTGAGAGACCAGTTCTTAGTCAGTTCAAGGTCACACCAGCAGCTGCATGTGGAGGAGTGGGGGAATCAAAACCGGTTCTCCCAGATTAGAGTCCGCGCTCTTAACCACTACACCAAACTGGCTCTCAAAGACAGAGAATAAGCACCATGCGCATCCATTTTGTACAGTTGCCACTATAATTCTCGCATTCAGACCAACCCAAGAAGCCTCTGGTAGCATTTGAGCGGCAACCCTTTATCTGCATTTAAAGAAAATACAGAAAAGGGGGGGGGGGAGTTAGCTTAAAGTATATATAAAATTTGACCTTGTGCCATTGAATGGAAGGCACAATAATTACCATCAAAACTATACTCATTGTTGATTTGTTATTCTGTAGAAGGGAGCGAGAGAGGGAGAAAGAGAGAGACGGACACCAAACACTTGATCTCTAATTGCACAGAACAATCATGCCCGATTTGCAATCCCTGTGATTTTCCTGTCCAGCACCACTAAAACCAAAGAGATAATTAAGGCCTCCTGAAGAGCACCCATGTTATGGACTTGTCTGCAAGGGTTAATACGCTCAAACGGAATTTATTGAAACCTAAAAGCAGATACATACCTGAAGGAGGTCGCTGAGGTCAAGGAGCATGTCTGTGGTCAAGGTTAAGGAACTTAAGCGTATACGTGGGCCTGCTGTGTGGCCAGTGGGCTGGCAACTTGGAAGAGAAATAAAATTACTTTATTCGGAAGGCGCATCAATACAGGATGAGGGAACTTCAAACACACACCAACAGTGGGCGTTTAGGAATTTGCCTTTTCCCCAATGGAAAGGTAGCTTCATGACTTTCCATTAATAGAAGAAGAAGAAGAAGAAGAGATTGGATTTATATCCCGCCCTTCACTACCCAAAGGAGTCTCAGAGCGGCTGACAATCTCCTTTCTCTTCCCCTCCCCACAACAGACATCCTGTGTGGTAGGTGGGGCTGAGAGAGCTCTTGACAGAAACTGCCCTTTTTCAAGAACAGCTGTGCCAGAACTATGGCTTACCCAAGGTCATCCAGCCAGGTGTGAGTGGAGGAGTGGGGAATCAAACCCGGTTCTCCCAGATTAGAGACCGCACACTTAACCACGACACCAAACATTTTGAGCCTCTGGGCACCTCTGGAATTGGGTGCCCCATGGTGGTGGGTGCAACTGCAAAATGGCTGCCACAACAGACAGAGCCAACCACAAAATGGCTGCCATTGGACATAGAGCCAACCACACAAAGTCAGGGAGTGAGAACATGCAGAATTCTAATAACTGAATGGATGTCTGCTGACAATATTACATCCAGCTCAAAATATCCTGTTAAGTGCCCTCCACGCCTGAGAGGAGACAATTAAGATTCTGTTACTTCCCACAATTAGAAAAAACACCTTTAGACATTTATCTGCTATTTTGACATATTTATTACTTTACAACGGCTGCCCTTATAACCTTCACTTGTTACTTAGTTTTTCCACTTTGCATAACTTAAACATCATCAGGTTACATGTTAATTTGCTGTTAAATCCCTGTCTATAAATTTAGAACCTCATCTGCCATTCCAATGTATTTGAAAAAGCGTGCCTTGCACATGCAAGTTTATTTAAAGTTTTGTTGGTCTTATAGGTGCCACTGGACTCTAAATTTGTTCTAATAGAAAACCTTCAACATTTCTGGCAGAAGCTGTGTTTAACAGGATGCCTTTTAAGATCATCATACTGTTCAAAAGTATTTTCTCGTACACACACAAGCTTACTCTCAATCATCTAGTGAAGATTCTTGTGCTGTAGTGACAGCTGCTGCCAAAGCAACTTTTAAGAAACCTGCTCAGTCAATCATATCTCCAATGGCCCGTCAGAAGCCCCGATTCTCTACAGGAAAATTTAACAGGAGGAAACATGTAATCATGAGATTGCCCTCACCTGAAGGTGTCTTCGCTAAAGGAACATCAAGTAGTTTGGGTCCAATGACACCTTTAAGACTAATGCAGTTTTATTCTGTGTATACGCTTTAGTGTGCATGCATACTTCTTCAGGTACATCGAAACAGAAGTCACTGACCATTACATATATGGGTAGAGGGTGAGGAGGGTGTTGCCGGGAAGGGCCAATTAGAGTCACGGTGCATAAGGAACTGAGACGTAATTAAAGCTAAGGCTGGATGAAGGCAATTGGTAAGATGCCGTATGCCAATCTGCTGCTATTCACAGGTCTTACCAATTGCCTTCATCCAGCCTTAGCTTTAATTACGTCTCAGTTCCTTATGCACCGTGACTCTAATTGGCCCTTCCCGGCAACACCCTCCTCACCCTCTACCCATATGTAACGGCTGGTGACTTCTCTTTCAATGTATCTGAAGAAATGTGCATGCACACGAAAGCTTATACCCAGAACAAAACTTTGTTGGTCTCAAGGGTGTCATTGGACTCAAATTTTGTTCTGCTGCTTCAGACCAACATGGCTACCCACCCGAGGACATCAACAAATAGGCATGCCTAAGTCAGAGCTGCGGTGGCTCAAGTGGTTAAGACGCTGAACTGCAGGCTGTGGAAGGTCGGTAGTTCAGCAGTTCGAGACCCGAGTGTGCCGCATGACGGAGTGAGCTCCCGTCTCTAGTTCCAGCTCCTGCCAACCTAGCAGTTCGAAAGCAAGAAATTGCAAGTAGATAAATAGGGACCACTTCGGTGGGAAGGTCACAGCGTTCCGTGCGCCTCGGTGTTTAGTCATGCCGGCCACATGACCACGGAAACGTCTTCGGACAGCGCTGGCTCTTCAGCTTTGAAACGGAGATGAGCCCCGCAACCCTAGAGTCGGATTCGACTGGCTTTCGAGCAAGGGAGACCTTTACCCTTTACTTAAGTCAGATGGAAAAACAAGCGCTTTGGCCACGGTTCCTCCAGTGAGATTTAAGAAAGAGTACCTTTCTTTGGACTGCATCCCCCATCTTTATGCACTATTCTGCTCGGATTTTACAACTCATTCAACAGCCACTGTGGCATTAGCCCTCCAGAATCCCCCGCTGATCCTTCTGTCTGGCACAGGGTTTTTTGTCATTGTGAGTCCTGGAGAATTACAATGCATTATGGTTTATGTATAGGTTAATCTCTATGCCACTTTTGAGAGTTTCCTGAACAAGAGAGAGTTCCTCGCCCCACGGATTATAGAACCCAAAAGACGGCATATCTCTGTTTGATGGGCAGCCACTCCAGGTCGTATATGCAAGTCAAGACCCAAACAGGACATGTTTTTTCTCTAGCTGAGGTCTTGCCGACTGACTCAGAAGCCCTATTCCCTGTGCTACCATTAGCTGAAATAAGGTGGGTAGCCACACAAGTGTCAGGGTTTTTTCTGTGGTGGCACCTCAGTTCAAGAAAACCTTCCCACCAGTGTTCCCGCTAAGCTGAGTTAATGTGAGCTAGCTCAGTTTTTTTAGCCTCTGGCTCACACATTTTTGTGTTAACTCAGGAAGGGTGGCTTCAGAGCTAACTAATTTATGCAGTAGCCAAATCGCTCACAACTTTCATGCCAGTAGCTCACAAAGCAGAATTTTTGCTCACAAAACTCCACAGCGTGAAGGGAGCATTGCTTCCCACAGATATACAACAGGTACAGCTAGATTCAAGCCCAGTAGCACCTTTGGCAGGCCTTTAGAGCCAGCGTGGCTCTTCTAATGTTATTTTAAAAATGCTTTATCATGAGTGATTACTGTTTAAATAATTCCTTAAGTCGCCTTTAAGCTGCCACGAGTATATTCAGTGGAAAGAGCAAGGCAGTAATCATTAAAATAAATAAAAGAACAGTGCACATTGTTACACATGTGCGCTACCCTGTACCAATGTACAGGTTTGTGTTTAGACTACTGGCCAAGGGGGAAACAGTGTCAGAGAGGAATTAGAGACATGCCTCTATGGCATAGCCAAGCCCACAGATATGCTACAACACAGGAGGGGCTGTGATTCAGCGGAAGAGCATCTGCTTGGCATGCAGAAGGTCCCAGGTTCAATCTCCAGTGTCTCCAGTTAAAAGATCTGGCAGTAGGTGATGTGAAAGACCTCCGCCTGAGACCCTGGAGAGCCGCTGCCAGTCAGAGTAGACAATACTGGCTTTGATGGACCAGGGGTCTGATTCAGTATAAGGCAGTTTTGTGTCTACCCAACTGCCTGCATTTCCAATGCCAGAGGCTAGTCACCTGCAGATCAGAAGAGCTAGAATTGAGTCTCGTGGCACCTTAGGCCCAGGGGCTGGATCAGGCCCCCGTATGGCTTCTATCAGGCCCACAGTGGAACTGGCTGTCTTCTG